AGTAAGGACTGAAGATTGAGTTTTTGAGAAAATGGAGATAGGATTTCTTCTCAGCACTATCTGAGTTCATGGCACTACAGGGGATATGAACTTTTGATGAAAGAGAATATATGATGAATGGTTTAGGGTACTTGTTTTAGTAGTTTAGAGTATGGTGTTGGGGATTATAGTTTAGATTATAGGTGTGCTGTCTCTAGATTGTGGGGAGAGAGGAGAGGTGGGGAAGGAGATGAGAGAAGGCTAAGGAAGGAAAAGCTGAAGTGCATTTATAATTAGATTTTCTTCACTATTTTGTCTATGACCTTCCTTATTAATACAGGTATGATTTAGAGAATGTTGTGTGTTTTCAAGAAATAATTTGAGTATGTGTGATTCTTTAATTTTGTGTTTATATTAAAAATGCTTTCTGAAGACAATTTCCCAGAGCAGGGAATGTTCTTTTTGTAAAAGAAGATTTCTTTTTTTATTAGTCATGTAGTGTTGAGCGGATCACATAATCTGACTTTGGTTCATTACTGTATTGAAGCAAAGATGAATTAGGATAGTACATAAAATGTACCCTGTAATGTGCTCAATCAAATACAAAACATTGAGTGTATGTGCATGGAAAATTATGTGATTGAATTTTGGAGTCACATCCCTTGGGTTTCAATCCTGGCCTTTTACCTCTGTGACATGGAGCAAATTAAATTTTCTTTGTCTTAATTTTCTCATCTACAAAATGAAGGAAATAATAACACCTCATAATGTTGTTGTGAAGATCAAAGGAGTTAACATATGTAATAGGCTTAAAGCAGTGCTTGGCAGAAAGTACAATACTTACTCAAGTTTTATATTTTTATGTGCATGTCAGCACAAAACAATACTGACTTAGATGCATGGACATGAATTACTTGGAAATGAAAAAAATCCTATATTTTTGCTTCAAGCAATATAATTCTTTGTCTAAAGAACTCATATTTGATTATAAACTATTATTGATAGTTAAATGGGACTGTTTGAATTTAGCAGTTATGAGTGAACATGTCTCAGAAGCTTAATTCTCTTGAGATTTGAATAAAGAGACTACTCTCATTACTGCTTACTTACTCAGATAAGATTTAAATAATATTGATTTTGTTCATCATGTTTGTATTTTAAATGAAAAGTTTTGACCCTGACTATACTTTAGAAGCAACTGGGTCTCCCCAAACCAGTTGAATTGGAAACTGTGAGGGTTGCATTATTAAATGTGAGGGTTGGTATATTAAAAAACACAACTCCCTAAATGATTGTAGTGTGCAGGCACAGTTGAACAGCCACTGACTTTCAGTATTAGTAATTCAATATATACCCTATTAATTTCTAACATCAGTTGGTAATTTTATCATAATTAAATAAAGTGATATTGCTATTTATGGATTTTTTAAATTACAACAATATTAAAGACAAGTTTGGATGGTTTTAAATTATCTTTCTTTTTTTTTGCCATGATGAAGGTCTGTGTATATTAAATAAGAATATAGGATCACAGAATGTGAAATGTGGGAGGGATTCTCAAGGGCATCTAGTGGAAAAAGGATGCACTTTGAAGACAGTGACTTATTCACTCACTGTCTATATGATCTTATGGCACTTAAGCTTCCAAGCCCCCAGTACCTCTCTGCAAAGTCAAGATGAACATGCATTCTACAATGGCGTCTGTGCTTCATCACACACAGACACACACAGACACACAGACACACACAAACACACTTGACTCCCTGCCTCCTGCATGATCCCTGCACCATCTGGTATAGATACCGAGCAGGGATTGTGTGGGAGCCTCCACAGGACTGTCTGAGCCTACAGAGCCAGCTGCTGGGAACTTCTCCCTCCCACTTTTCAGGGATCATATCTCTAGCTGTGTTGGGATTTTTCAAGGCTGGTTATTTGGATCCCATGACCTTTCATGGGCATAGCTTTTCATCTATGGGGTCAGTCACTGCTAGCCAAGTAGACTGATGCTGTTCATGAGGCTAGGGCTGAGGATGACTTCTTGTTGTCACATAATAGAAGCTTCTGGCTACCCTCTGTTCCAGCCTCAGAAAATACTTATGCAGGACACATATGACTGCTTTCTCTTTCCAAGCTATTTTCTTATCCATGCTTCTTTGTGTTAGGTTGGGAGAATAAGAGGCCATCATCTATAACTTAGTATAACTTAGTGTGAAGAAAGTCATAGAGAAAAATCACAGCTTTTCTTAAGTTTATTTGTATGATAGTAGCAGTAGATTCTGTTGCCCTCCTCACCCCTGTATCTTGGATCCTTCGGCATAAGGCTTTAAAGTTATTAGGCCACTCAAATTCCCTGTTGTTCATTAGTTGGGGACAGCTAAGGAGATTCATTCGCAAAGGAGAGGTTAGAAAGACTGTGTCTTCAAAGCCCTTGTTTTGCATCACTGGCATGGGTGAGCACTTTACTAGAGGTTTATTTTAGAAATGAACCCTATCACTATCAAGGCAGAAGTCACTTCTATTAAAGGCTTTGACCCACTTGTGTGTCTTCATTTCATGATTTCCATTCAGGTGACACTGATAAAACCATGGGTTGATGGAATCATTCAAAGTCTGAAGAAGGATGAGGTGAATGCATAGGGATAAGACATTCTAGAGGGGTGAGAACTGTGGTGAAATCAGTCTTGACTTGTAGGATATATTCTGTAGTTAGCCTCTATGCTTGTGGTTTAGAATGTATCCATTGGCTTTGGTGAGAAACAGAAAGTGTATAAATGCTCTACCAACTTGAAGCTTTGTTGGTTTTTCCCACAGAACATTTCCTTTTAATGTATTTGGAAACTATAAATTTAATTCCTACTGAGGGTAGAAGTAATTGCTTCACACAAGAAAAAAAATGGCTCTTTGAAGAGCTTAACTCCTTTTACAAACGTGTACTTTTTAATAACTGGGAAATTCCTACTATAGGAAATACATGTCCCTTTTTACAAATGAGGTCTTTCTGGTCTCAGTTGTGCCTGTACACCCCAGTTCCTGCATTCTGTTCCATGTTTTGTGACCAGAGGTTATTGGAAGGATAATCCCTCTGTGGATATTGGGGCATGTTGCCAAAGGGAAAGTTATCCTAGCTCAGAAACTGCCAAACCAGTGCAAGAGGCCCAGATCCCAGGGGAGCTGACCCAGTGACTGATAATGATTTGGTGTAGGCTGGCCATGGGTAGAGTTGTTAAAGTACACTTTTCTTGTGTACTACAACCCTGTGCCTGCTTTATTCGCTTTACATTTCTTAACCACTTCACTGATTCTTGGTTCAGAAATGATTTTTATTTTCTAGGTGTATTTCATTTACTCTGCTTTGATTCTATCCCGATGAGTAGAAACATCTAAACCAATCTGAGATCTCATTCATCTTTTTAGCCTGGTAAAAATGAAAAACAGCTGCTGAAAGAAGTTGCTGTGTACCTTTCCCTTGAATGCTTGAAGCCTGATTCTTCCTAAAATTGATTTGTGAATTGGCTTGGTGAATATGAAGAATATATCCCAGGCCTTACATTTGCATTGTGAAAGGGTCTTCTTACATGGTATTATACAGTAGATCTCATAGGTTGCCCTGATTTAACTTAAATTCACTTTCTTCTGGCTTTAAAATAACCATTCCCTACTAAGGTAGATATTACAGTTTGAAGAGTGTTATGGGGATTGTAACATCTATCATGAATGTTTTTGTAAAAAGGCAAACATGGAGTGAGTCCAAGCAAAAACTGACAGACCTCTGGGGTCTCCCTTATATTATGTGTCTTTAAGACAGTCACTTGGAAGGATTAGGGACTAGGCATTGATATTTATTAATTGCTTCTTAGGTACCAGCCTGTGCAGGGTTTTCTACAGATTATATTTTTAGAAGTGCGAAGTTTGTATAATTAGCAGTAACCTTAAAATTACCAAGCTATGGTGCTGCTGCACATCTTGTATCAGAGTCACTTCCCTCTAAAACTTGTCTTTGGTTGTAATAGATTGATATTTTGATAAGCCCTTGATGGCTTTTTTCTGTTTGACTTACTAAAGGTTTTTGTTATTTGAAAAACTCTCTTGACACTGAAAATTTGGTTTCTCTTATCATAACTTCTTAGTAAAACCTAGGTTCTGGAATCTTTGTGTCCGATTTGTGCCTCCTAAGTCTGATGCACCAAGTTTGAGCCTTGCTTCCTAAGTAAGTCTGAAAGTAATTTCTTGATCTAGGATTTAAAAAAATTGCATCTTTGGCTGTCATGAGGAGGATAGGATTATAAAATTCAGATATGAGCTACTTAAATATTTGCTTCTGTCACTTCTTTCCCGTCTGTGTTCCCTCTAGGAGATTCTAGAAAGACCCTTTGCTTGAAATCTCTTGGGATATGAAGGAAGTCAAGCTCATTTCTGCTTGAAATGATGACTGTGGTGCTCTGAGCCATTTGCTTCCCATCCTAGACTATGCAGATGCAGAACTAATAGGACAGAAAATAAAAGATGATCTAACTTTAAAACTATCTCTTACTATAGTTGACTATTTTAAACTCAATTTGCTACTACTTGCTAGACCATCCTTAAAAATCTGGTTGAAACATAAAAGAAAACATTAAGATACATCCTTTCATTTCAGTTGGTCATTACACATGCAGATTACACTTGCTGGACAGAAAGAACTGTGACCCATGTTTCTTCAGCATGCCCTGCCCATTTCTCTCAAGGCCTACTTAGACTGTAGGCAGCCAATGAATATTGTGTTGAACTTAACAGCTCATTCAAAATAATAAAATATGAGAAGGAAATTTTGTCATACTTGAAATTGGAAAATTTAGGCAATTGCTGACTGTCTCATTAGTTCCAATGGGGAAAATACATGGTTCAATGCAAACCAGGTTAATATTGTAAAGCGAAAACTCTTTTGAGACAAATCAGAAACTACATATCTGCCTATGATCTTTAGAATGGGAATGACACTGATTTGCTGATAATATCTTTTTATTATTGTTGTTATCCTATAGCCTCAGACGATACAGCAAACTCTCAAGAGGACATTGCAGTATTATGAGCATCAAGTTATTGGGTGAGTAAAATTGAACTTTGTCATTAATGGAACTCATTAAAGATAATTACTCAAACACAGCTGTTGAGTGTGTGGTCACATTGCTCTTCAGCTCAGCCATTTCTTATACTGGCTATTTCTCAAAGTGTTGGGAGTGAGTAACGAGTGTCCCTTGGAATGATTTCCTTTGGTTTATTTGTATTTAACTCTTTTAAATAAAATTCTCTTTGGTATTGTTGTCTTCCTTTTTTTTCCTTCTGCATTACCTTCTCATTCCAAGCTTCAGTCTTGCTTTACTACTTCGGTAAGGTTTATTGATACCAACTGGGAAACTTTAAATGGGATTTTAGAATTCTTACGTAGAGTTTAATCAAAACCACTATGAGTGTAGCACCCTTCATTGAGAGTTGTTGGTTGAGATAGAGTCAGTGTTACACATTTTTTTTTTATTGTCTCCTATTTTACAGTGGTTGTGATACGGTGTGAAGTATGAAGGCCTGATGACAAAGAGTAGAAATTCAAGCCCTCATTAGCACATACAACTTTTAATAAGTGATGTTGTTTCTTTTGTAAAATGTGGTAATGGCGATAATAACTAAATCAAAGATTAAATGTCATGATCAGATGAGATAATTTCTATGAAAATATTTTGTAAACAGAAAACTCCAGATGAATATAAGGTACACCTCTGATTGGCTATGGCAGAAAGCAATGATAAATAACAAAAGCCTAAATTTACTTTCTCATGGAATATAACTTTTTAAATTAAATTCTTTGACATTAGAGGCAGTGCATATTTTAATTCAGCATATTAGTAATTTCTATTTGTTACAGTGCTTTATCTTTGTAAGATTTTAAGAACTTTGAGGGGACCAAGATTCAAATTCTGGTACTTCTTCAAATATTATCAAGAATAATTTTACATCATAGCTCATAGTCATTATTCTGGGCATCAAGAACATGTTTTTGGCTATTAGGATGTAGTGATTTTTTAAAGCAAAACAAAAGGGAAGAAAATGAATGGAAAAATCATCTCTGGTTCCTTGTACAATGTCATATACTTTAAGTGCTTGATGATTATGTTAATTGCATTTCAAAAGGAATTGCTTTGTCATATTAATCCTCAAGAGTGCAGTACTAGGAAAAGCATATTATTTAAACTTATGAGATGGTTTTTAGTTTTAGGTCATTAGTGATTCCAAATGGTTTATCCTAATGGAGCTAAAGAATGTCAAATTATCTTTCCTCACACATTCGAAAATTAAACTTAATCGCTCTCAGTTTACTACCTTCAGAGTACGGTAAGTAGATTTAAATTAGTTAATATGCTTAAAACACTTTCTCTTGTATAGTAAGTGCTACATACCTGTTTGCTTTTTGGTTTATTCTTCTTGTTAATATTTTTATGACAATACCAGTCATCAGACTCAAATCATTTTCTGGAATTGTGAATGCCCTCTCTGTTTTGAAATTAAAGAACTGGTGAAATATTTCAATTTGTGAACTAAATTATGACTTTAAGGTTAATTGCAGTGGCACTTTTATAATATGATCAAAATAGATATCCAAACTATATTTTGATAATCAGCAGAACACTCTTTTTGCCTTTAGTAGGACAGCATTCTTTTTTATCTAACTGTTTCAACACTCCTTTCTATCTGCACTGACAAGGCCTGTGGTGATTCTTTTGTTCATTACCAGTGGCCTTTTCCCCATTCTGTTTATGGTAGACACAAACATAACAGAGCAAAAGAGAATTTGACTCTGTTCTAAAGTGGTGTCTTGATGTCCCTCTTGAGCCAAATAGACCTATTGGCACATTTTTGCCTGAGTGTTGATTAACTCCTAAGAGTTGAAGTACCTTTGCTCACTCCTTTTATTTGTACTAGTGCTGACAAAGACATAAGATTAGTCGGCAGTAATGTTGTCACCTTTGTCTGTCTTTGTCTTCCTTCTTTCCTTTCCCCTCATTATATGGCTTCCTTTTCCAACATCTTTTTCCTTCTAGACTCCAACTATCTACTTCTTATTTATCTTTTTGAAACTGAAAAAAGAGTGCAACTAATGTCACTAACACTTGGACTAAAATGTATTCACACCTATGTGTTGTTTTGCTAAACAAAACACAATTTAACGCTTTTTCTTTAGCTGTGAAAAAGAATGTGTTTCCTTACAGTTATAGGGATTTCAGGCAATGGAGAATAAGTGCTGACAAGCACTATTTTGCATAGTTTTTAGAGCTGGGAAGAAGATGCTCTTCTTAATTTCTGAAATTGGGATTCCTGAAGGCTTATCTTGAAGTAGTTCAGCTTTCCAGTGCCTTGGTCTTTGAGGCTGAAGCAGAACAGATAATGGAGTATATTAGCTAGACCTTCTCTTTGTAATGTCTTCTATGTTTTTTTTTTTTTTGGTACCAGGGATCAGACTCTGGACCTTGCACTTGCAAGGCAGGTGGTGGAACCACTGAGCTAAATCCCTGGCCCTTCTTTGTAAAAATGTCTTAATTTACTCCAGACTGCTGACTTTCCCATGCTCCCTTCTCTCTCTTTAAAAATCTGCCCTGGGATCAGCTTTATTTATCAGACACTGGGACTATAAAATCTACTCCTTTACTTCTTATACTGGTTGCCCATAGAAACTCTGAGGTTTTTTTTTGTCTCCCAAGACCTAGACTTGAATGCAAGGAGCAGCTGTTCAAAGGATCACAGATGGGGGAATATGAGGCAGTAGATGATGGAGCTTCTTGTTAGGAAGTAAAATAACCTCTCTGTACCTTAGCCACTTTAAACATTTGTCTTTAAACATTTATTCTATTCCTTAATTTACCCATTCACTCATTCATTTATGTATTCATAGAGATCATTTACATTGGGGAAATGAGTGCTGAAATAATTTATTCATGCCATGTGATAAATCTTTTTTTCCATCTTTACTACCTTCATCATCTCTGACTGAGGCATTCTGATCTCATTTTCTGGATTTTACTTCTGTCACCCAATATTGGATTTTTTTCACCATGGCAAAGAGATCAAAATTTAGATTGTGCTACTTTCTTACTTGAAGCCAATACAACTCAAATGTTAATCACAATCACCTTGGGGGCTTATTGAAATGTAGCTTGTTAGGCCCACTGTATTAGGGTTCACCAGAGGAACAGAACCCATTATATAAATACATTGTTACATATTATAACACATAACATGTAAGTATATTAATATATAATATGTGTATATATATTATGTGTCTCATACATCATAATAAGGATTTATTAGGTTGGGTTACATGATCAGAAGCTGAAAAGCCTCACCATGGCCAAAGCAAGCTGAGGTGTTGGGGAAATCAGTAGCTGCTCAGTCCAAGAAACTTGAAACCTCAGAATAAGAAGGATCAATACTGCAGCCCCAGTCGGAAGGTAAAGGCTAGGAAGCACCCCCCAAAAGTCACTTGTACAAGTCTGTGTGCAAAGGCTGAGGAATCTGAACTCAGATGTCTGCGGGTGATGGCAGCAGCAAAAAAATATACACCTGCTGAAGGAAAGTTGAGTGTATATGTGTGTGTGAACGTGTGTGTGAGCGTGTGTGTATGTCTGTGAGCTTCCCTCTTCTGATTTTTGTCTTATCCAGGCCCCGCACCTTTTGGTGCTGCCCACATTCAAGGAGGGTCTTCTCCACCCAGGTCACTGATGCACCAGAAACACCCTCACACTCATGTCCAGAAGCACGCTTTGCCAGTTTTCTAGTCATCCATCAATTTGTCAAGTTAACAGCCACGATGAACCACTGCACCCAGGCAGTTTGTGGTTCAGCAAGTCTGGGGAGGGTCAAGGACTTATGTTTCTCATGACTTCTCAGGCAAAGCTCATGCTACTGACCCAAGATCATACTTGTGAGCTTCTACCATAAACCATGTAATGGCTTTTTTTGATTGAATAGTGTCTGAGTTCATTCTGTGATCTGCCCTCTGCCAATTTCATCCTCTTCTACCACCCACTTTTCACTCCACTCCAATCAGGGATTTTTTGGTTATTATTTTTGTTTTGTCAACTATACCAAGCTTAGCCTCAGGGTCTATGTACCTCAGGGCCTATGTACTTTTGTGTTTTGTGTTTGCATGACTTATTTTTCTTTTTTCTCTTTTTTTTTTGGTACTGGCGATTGAACTCGGCTCCTTGCGCTTGCAAGGCAGGTGGTAGAACCACTGAGCTAAATCCCCGGCCCATGACTTATTTTTCTATACCTTCAGGTTTCTCTCAAATATGAACTCTCCAGAAATATCTACCTTTAGCACATAATCTCAGTTTGCACTCTATGTCCTATCTTAGTCTCCAACACCAGTCATTTTCTGTTGTACTAACCTCTATGATTTCTTTTCAAAGTGCCTATCATTAGCTGATATTGTCTTTTTATTTTCTTATTTGTCATGTTTATTTCTGTATTCTTGTGCTTTTTTATAAGTGCATGGCACATGTGAAGGGCTAACATTTTGGGGGCGACTGAGGAGAGAGTGAATAAATAAATAATACTCTAGAAGTGTGTTCAGAGATTTTTAGAAGCATAGTGAATAGAAGAGTAAATTAAGCTTGGGAAAAGGGGGTATAAGATGAGAGGTTGAAATAATCTCTCCTGCCCCTTACAGTTGTAAAATTTATCATTCTAGTATTCAAAGTCCTTTTCTTTATGGCATAAATTACACTAATTCATTTGCTTAGCTTCTAATTTCTGCTTAATATCTGCCACTGTGTCTGACTTTGTTACTATATAAACTTTACACATTGGTGCTGAGTTGGATAACCTCCTGTTTGCACAATCTTCCCTCAATCTAAAATGAGTACGGGAGCAGCAAGTGTGCCTTTTCATGTAGCTTGCTTTTTCACTAAAACTCCTAGAGAATGGGCTAGCTTTTTGGGCAATGTAGGGTGGAAAATAGTGAGAAGCAGAGTGGGTCACTAAGAGACAGACAGGGTTCAGTTTTGTAATTAAAAGGAACTCAGAATTGAGGAATATCAGTTTATGATAGCATTTTTTTCTAATGTCCTTTTTGACAGTTTCTTCCACCTTTTCTTCTCCTTAGTATGTCTTTGTTGTGGCGAGATTGTGCTTTGGAGGCAGACGTAGAAGACCTTCATAGAATTAGAGTCATGTTCTGTTACTGAGTCAACTTGGGCATCTTACTTAAAATTCCGAGACTCAGTTTTTTCATTTTAAAAATGGGAATAGAAACAGCGTTGGGATGAAGTTAAAAAAATATATATATAGCCAATGAAGGGCCTGCTACCCCAAGATCATCAGCATGTCGGTTCAGTTATCATTATTGCTATTAACAACTGACTCTTTTGTCCATCACTTTTTATTTATTGTTGTTTTCTTTATCTCTTCCTGCTCTTTCCCTGTTTTCCTGGGGCCTCTGAAAGTTAGGAATTCATTGTTTAGCATCAGGAGCTACATATGCCCAGTACATATTTCATCTACAGTTTATAAATTTATTTTCCTTTGAATTTTTTAAACCTGAATTTCTGTCTCTAGGGTGTCTGACCCAACTGCTTTTACTCATGTTTATACTATATGACTCCTACTGGTGTATAGCTCACACAAATAGATTACTGTGGCTGTGTTGATGGAAATTTCTGTAGTAAACTATCATGAAAAACAAATGATAATTAATGTTCCTGAGATATATTGTTCATCAGTTATATATCTTAAACAATAAAGCTTAAGGAAATTATATTCAGAATCACACCATTCATTTTATTCTTTTGAGAAGAATGCACATTGTTGTGTTAATATCATCGTTAGGACTGTTGCCAGCTTCCAATTAGTCTGGGACATCATTTCCTATAGTCATCTAAAATTAACTTCTATTACTCCTATTATCACTGTGGGCCTCATGTTTGTTTTATACAACCAACCTTCTGTTCTATTCTTCTTTTGAAAGTTGAAGGGAGATTAAGCTAGAATAATTTTAACTGAGGGTTAGAAGTAAAATTAAATGTAGGTGAGCCCTGATTATTCTGGGAAACAAATTTCAAATATATTACTTAGGCTTTCATGGTCAGATTTTGTTGCTGTAAATTATTTTATTTAAAAAGTGATCTAGCTTCTTTTCCATATATTTACAAAGAATGACTGCCTACTAATACAACATTCTGGGAATTTTACCTCTGTTATATTTTTAACCCTAAGCATATATTTTACAGACCCATTGTGGTATGCTCATTTTATATAAGAGGAAATTGAGGATGAGAGAAAAAGTATTTTGCCCAAAATTATTCTACTAAAAATGATGGAAGTTGATTTAAAAATAATACTATATTTGTCTGTGCTTAACATCTATATTTCCTATTCTACTTCTCCTGGTGTAAGTGCTGTACTTAGGAGCTATAGCAAACATCTTGCCTCATTGGTTTATTGGAGTCTGGTATCAGTGAGGCATACAAACAACAAAATATTTTATCTTTTCTCTCTATTCACATCAAACATCCTAGGATGAATCTCCTTTGATATATGCTTGGACAGAATGCTTTTTTTTTTTTCCAAGTAATTTTAAGGATTATAAAGTCCACTGCAGGTCAATTTAAATCTTCAGTCTTAGGTCCAGTCTAACACTTTTTCCCCCTGACTTTGTGTGAGTCAGGCCTTGGCCTGAGGTACTTGGAATTCAATACAGAGAGGATATGAGGTGAGTTTTCATTCCTCTTCTCTAGGCTGCACCTGTTATTCTTTGCATTGTCTAGCAGATGCTGGATTGATTTCTCTTGGACCCTTACTATTTTTAAGAAATTTTTCTTTTCCTGGTCACTAATTGCAATCATATCTTCTATATCTGAAATTCTGTCCTCACATTGGCTCATTCTGCTGTGTAAACTTTCAATGGAGTTTTAATCTCCTGGAAATCTGTTTACATCTGTTTTATGGATTCCATTTGTTTCCTATGCTGGGATTCCATCATGTTCCTCAGCTCCTCTATTTTTTACCTGTGTCCTCTCTAGATCTATTAATTATGTCTTGCACTATGGACACAATCTCTGCTGTTTGCTGAGAAATTATTTCTGATTTCATTTTTTCCAGGTCCTCTTTCATTGCCAGTTCAGGGAATCCAGGTGGTTTATTATCAGATTGTTCCATCTTGTTTTCCTTTGGGGTTGCATTAGGTGATCTGGAAGTCTGGTTTTGAGACTTATTTACATGTCTTCTCATTTCACAGAGTGGTGGCTTGGGGTATGGGGGGGTGGGAGGGTGGGAGAGAGGGGTGTGTGCTGCTGGCACCCATGCTGCTTACCTCCTCGGCATTGGGGGCAGTGGTATGGGTGTGCTGTGTCAGGTAGGAGTGAAATAGAAAATTGCAGAAGCCTTTTTGAGTTCACTAGTGGTACAGGGATGGGCTCTACCTGATAGCTTCTGAAATCCCAGTGTCTGCTCCTGAGAACCACACTCTATAGTCTTGCTGGACTGAGAAAGCAGCAGGCTGACTGACTGGACAACTCAGGCTCTCTTTTTTGGTAGCATCTCCCTAATCCATGGGAGAGTCATATTTTTTGCCTTGCCAAATGATGAGCCAGTAGGTTTCTTTCAATTTTGCTTTGTTTCTTTTCCTTGTCAGTACCTCTCTCCAGAATACTTTCCCTTTATTCATTCAGGAATGGGAAGATGATCCTGAAATCCACTGCTTCAGTAGATATTCACTCACCCCAATCTTTACCAGCTATGGATTGCTCTTCCCAACTGGGCTTCTGTGGGGAGTGCCCTGTTCCATCCTTATCTCATAGCAGAGGGGAAAAGTGCAGCAACATGCTCTTTCTAAGCCAGCTCTTCTGAGGATTGGTTTGGTTCTTTCTATTCCTTTGCTTCTGTGAGCTGTTCTTGAGATGATAGTGGTAGCGTCTACTTAGTCACCTCTTAAATCCTGAAGGAGAGTTCTGATCTTCTTGGCTACTCTTTTGGGATATGGAACCATTTGGGTCCCCCTGTCTTTAGCATTGATGCCTTAGCTCTCATTGAGAAGAAACTGGAAAAGTCCCAACCGACACCAGATGACACCAACACTGTGTCATTTAGTCCTCACAGGAACTCTAGGAGGTACCTTCATCATATGAGAAAGAAAAGTTACACTACCAGAGATGAGGTTACTTGTCCAAGGTCTGACAGAAAATGGTAAGACCATGGGTCAAAATCTACCAGGCTCCAAATACTGTGTGTTTATTTTGATGTTATCATACACCCTATGTCATCTTCTTCACTATGGTAGAGGTTAAAGACTTTATTAACACAGTTGAGTGACATTGCACCACGGCAGTACCATTAATGTTTCTTTTTCTGAGAAATGTTCTTGTGGAAACAGATTACCAGCAGCAATGAAGTATTCAGGTAGGGATACATTAACCATACAAGGCTGGTATATGATTTGATTCTCCTCTTCTTTGCTTTTCACAAAGAGCTTTTTAAAAAAAATTAGCAGATGCTTCCTATTCTAGGGCCATCTTTCTAATACTTATGGGAATGGTGGGTTATGCCAGAATTATGTCTGGAGGTTCAGTTATTTCAAAATGTGATTATGCTCAAAGGGTAGATTGTGTGTGCTTGTATGTGGGTGCATGAATGCATTTGGTGATGCTCTCAAAAATTTCTCCATATGCTAATTTTCTTTTCTTTTTAGTTATAGGGATGCAGAAAAGAATTTCCACAATATCTCTAACAGATGCTCCTACGCAGACCATTCCAACAAAGAGGAAATTGATGTCTCAGGAATTCTTCATTGTACTGCTAATATACTCGGTATATTATCTATTTTTATGGTTGAAAGAGAAATGAAAGACAGGGAAGATACAAATGTTTCATTTTCTTTTTTTTTAAAATTAAATTTATTGGTACATTTTAGGTATACAATATAATGACATTCGTCATTGGAAATTTGCACCTTTATATAATCTCTTGGTTCTTATTTTTTCCCCATTCCACTGCCCTCCCTTCAACCCCTCCATCCCTCCCTATTTACAAAGATGTTTTTTCCATTTGTTCATTTTCTCATATTAATTCCATTCCCTTCTTTCTTTTCCCCTACCCCTCCAACTTCCCTTTCCCCTTTGCCCCTTTTCTTCCTATTTCATATTATCTATTATACCTTTTAGTCCTTATTTATACTTTCAGTTTCTCACACTAGAGAAACTCTTTGGTATTTACACATGTGTGTCCTATTTATTTTACTCAAGAGTATGGCCTTAATGTGCATCCATTTAGCAATAAATGTCTCTAATTTCTCATTTTTTATGGCTGAGTATTACTCCACTTTATTAAAAAAACCACATTTTCTTTATCCAATCTCCAGTTTATGGGCAATTGGGCTGCTTCCAAGTTTTAGCTATTATAAATTGCGCTGCTATGAATATAGGTGCACATATATCGCTATGGTATGATTCTTTTGGGAAGATACCCAGCAGGGGAATAGCTGGGTCAAATGGGACTTCCAGTCATAGTTTTTCGAGGTATCTCTTTAAAAAGATTGGTTATAACTATAGTCATAATGATGATAGTCATGATGATGATAGTCATGATAACCGCCTTGATTTATTGTCTTTACCATGTACTATGTGGTAAGCGATCACCATATTTTATTCCATTAAAAATAACAATCATGTAAGAAAGATGCCTTTCCATGGTCTACATACAAAATGTCATTAGCATATGTCTCTGAGCTCATCTTGTGAAACTCTAATCTGTACTCATGGGCCTATACAATGCTCCTGAAATATGACAGGCAGGTATTGCCTCACCTCAGGACTTTTGTCCTCTTCTCCATTGTCATAAATGCTCCCCACCCATACATAATTATTTTCCACATAATTTCAGTTCAGTATCCTGATCACACTGTAGCCTTTCCCTGCCAACCATCTTCTCTCATATCTGTTGGGTTTCTGGAATCTTAACTATTATATGCCTATGTGTAGATTTTTTTTGATTAGGGCTAGTTGGAGTCCTATATGCCTCACTTACCTGTATGTCAAGTTCTTTTCC